TTAGCAGTTATTGTATACAAAGCCTCTCAGGAGCTCTCTGTTATATATGTCTGGTAAAACAATTTTAATTGCAATACTTATTGACTGGGTCTGTCCTTTTCACCTCAAACAGTGACCTGGACAAGAATCATAACACACTTTTTAAAAAAAGTTTGCATCTCAAAATCTTTTTGTTTTGTTTGTAAAAGGCAAAAGGTTTTTTGCTTCAGCAAAGAGGTTCACATATCTATTTTTTTAAAAGCGAAGTGAGCTCTGGTCTCTTTAAAAGCGTGGCCAGAAATCTCAAACACTGCCTCAGTTTTAAGTGTTGAGGGGCACAAACAATGCCTCAAGAGTTAATGTTGTACTGTCTATATGAAAACAGTGTCCTGGGTCCCTAAAGGGCCTTGTTTGTCCCCATGTTTCACTGATTTGCCAGTTGGCAATCCTAAGCCAGGAAACTGTCAATTTCAATTGAGCTCTGGGCTACATACTCCCATTAAAGAAGTCTTGCTGGTTAAGGGGCGGCCTCTGTTTCCAAAGCATGGGAACGAGGGCTCTGCATTCCTTAGATTTGAGCTGGCAACTTACACTGACTAGAATTTTCAAGGAGCAATGAATGAGCTTAACAAAGGCGTTCTGTGGCTACTTTCTGGCTGTCATCCATGTCAACAGTTTCCAGGGTCAGAGGCCACACTAACTACATTTATTCCCAGCAGACCTTGCTCCAAACACAGGCTGCAAGAAGTACAAATTCAGAATTGTTTCCAGTAATCCCCCGAGATATTTCTGATCTTCCACATGTTTCTGCTCAATTAAAAAAAACTCACTTTGCACCCTCTGAGCTCAGAGAAAGAGGCCCAGTGGAAAAAGAAACATAAGATAATACGCAGACAAAAACAGCAAGTTTTCCAAATAACGACAGTTACTGACACAAAATGTAATGTATTCTGTGAACCAGATTAGCACTTCCTCAAGACAATGCACAAAATATGTCGACTGATACGGGTTTGGATCCTTCCCAGGTTGCACAATGCCGTCCTAGTCTCAAGTAAAATATTGTTTTATTAAAAAGTCTTCCTCATTTTTTAAGAATTCAATGGTTTTCAACACATTAGCAAAGAAATTAGCAGATTCATTAAAGTTCCTCTCAGCTATACCGAAGCCAACCTTTTGTACATTTTGGATTCAGTTGTTTACATAAAACATTTTGCTTCAACTGCGGAAGCCAACTAGTGCAGATTTGTTAATTGAAAACCATCTCAAGACACCAGATGCTTAAATCATGCACTGGCAAGAGCGCAGTGAATGTTGATAAATGTTGATTAAAGGGCCCCCCTAACTCCCAAGCTGTTAATACCGATGATACTAAAACACACATCATAACTAAAAACAATCCTCCTCCACACTGCCTCTCCAACATGTTTAACATTCTTGAACTCAGGAGCATTAGACCCTTTAAATACATGTGAAAGCACAAATTCATTTTTAGAGAAATGTATCTTGCTTTAGTAATTTAACAGATACACAGGTTATGGTAATAAAATATTTACTATGTTACAGTGGAGACATTTAAAACCCTACACCATACTTACAGAACTGTAATTACACAGCTAACAATTAAATACCATTATACACCTGTTTAACACATTCAATATCTACACATCAAGTATTAGGCTAACAGTGTTCATTGAAACAGGTCAGAAACAGTATATATGGCTGGATAAACAAGGTGTCAAACAAACAAATTAACCCAGTGAGATGATTGATTTTGTTTTCAATTGAAAGCGGGAGGATTGGAATGTGAAACGTTATCTCTTTGCTAGAAATGAAGTCCTGAATAATTTGTAAAATGGTTTGTTCCGTACCTGCCTTGGGTTTTGTAAACCCAGCTGTATTTCATCCCATTGAGTTGAGCAGAGCAATGATACCGACAGCAAGTGGAGCTCATTTTCTGGAACTGCTGTGCCTGAGATCTTCATGGGGCATTGTAAGGCCCTGCAGATCAGTTTAACTAAGTCTAATATTTAATAATAATAATAATTATAAGTCTAATATTTAGGGCACACCCAGGCTTTTTACACTAATGGCAAATTATGTTACAGCCACACACATTTTCCAATTAGGTATGGATTACCTTGCCTCATATAAAGACGTTGAATTATAATATTATACAATGCTCTCCTTATATCTCATCTCAAGTCACAGTCACGTTAAAAACTGTTTCTAAATACGATCTCTCTTTCACAGAACCAGATCACAAGAAACAATTCCCAAGTCTTTAAAGTTGGCTGAAGTCAAGCAGCTGCACTAACTAACGTGGTGCTGTATTAAGAGTAGTCCAGCACGCAAGGTGTGCAGGCACAGGTCCCACTAGGAAAGTTCTCAATCTCAGCTGGGTCACCATGGGGTGATGGAGAGAGCCCTACATCAGTCAGTGATGAGAGTGGGAAAATTACAAACATGGCAACAAGTCAACATTTTGATTCAAGAAGAAATAAAAGTTTTATTAAACTACTGGGCGTAACAACGCATTATACAGCGCCTTCATATGGGTTAAGAACCTCAGAGTGCTGAGTATACTATTTTAACAATAACTAAGAACGCGGTTAATCACAGCACATAAGATGGATGTTGCCTTTTAACATCACCACTACAGCTGAACTGCTGAAGCCAATCCAGCGAATGCCACATAGTACTGAAAACTTGTAATATTCAAACTAAAACACCAAGCGTAGAACGTAAAATAAAATCAGCTCCCAGCATCAGTCATGCCAGCAGCACATGTGATGGTTAAAACAAGAAAGCTTTCGACTGTACATGTATGTGTGTGTGGGGGACACACACGCAGAGAATGCAGTGATTAACCGTCTGAGTCATCACAATGCTCCCAACATCAAAAGCAGCAGATATTAGTAAACAAGCAATCACCAAATAACTAACGAAAAAAGCTCCCATAAAAGATCGGAGAGCAGAGTTTTGCGGTTCGGTATGACAGCCCACTCATTTTTAATAGGATTTTCAAAGGAAAAATGTAAAGGCATTAGGAATGCCATTTGAGTTTAATTTCCTCTATATGTAACCTGTGTATGACAACAGTAAGGATTAAAACTTGCTCTCCAAATAGTTCAACAATGAATTTACAGCTGAATATGCAGCAACTGGACTTTAGGTGGGTTTAGATTTATTTAAAAAACAGGGTAAAAGTGGCAACAACATTTTATTTTAACTCACTGAACAAGCCACGGTAGAACTTAATTAATCTAAACGGTATATGGAATCTCCACATTAGCTTCTACAGTGAGCAAAGCAGCTCCCACTACTCCCCACCCCCCATGCACAGTTTAGGCTGATGCTCCAGTGCGCTACTGGGGGAACGCTGCATTGACAGAGACACCGTCTTTTGATGAGACATTATCAGGTGGATGTTAAACTTCCATAACATAATTTGAAAATAAAAGGTAGTCCTTGTCAAGAATCATCCAGATAAATTGGTTAGTCACCTAATTCCTTTTTTGTGGGATTTTGCTTCACATGTACTTTGGGATGCCCTCCCTAAGTGAAAGGCTCTAAACGAGTATAAAGTACATTGCAAACTACAAAAGAAAGCTATTTGTAAAACAAAGTGGATCAAAACAAAATCATTAACTCTGTAGCCAATTGCTGCTTGTTCCATGTGACACTATGGGTTTAACATTTAGTCGCTGTTTGCAGGGTACAATCAGACTAGTGTTTGGAACAAAGTAAACTAAATAATCCATCCCGAGAGTTTGCTAAAGAGCAGCTTTGGTGGCACAGTGTACCAAACAAGAGACGTCAGTCACATAAATACAAGAATCTTTCAAACCATCTGGGCTCTTTTCTGGCTCTAAAATGTGCCAAGGATTTCTCCTCCATAAAACCAAAGACATATGACCACAGACATGCCTTGGCTTTGGGCAGCGAGTCATGCCTGGTGCTGAGAACAGCAAATGCCAACAATGCTGCAGCAGTTTGCCAGGTGTAGATATAAATTTAAATGAAAATAGAAAACAGTATTGTGCACCAAAATAGCTCAACAAAACATAAAACAACAAACCCCCCACAACCACCCACTGAGCTTTCTTTCCTTCCTTCCAAGAATTCATCCTAACCCGGAAACAGTGTATGGAGACCATTATTTCACAATATATCTAGTGGAGCGAGTGAACACATTAATTGTATATTTGTTTTCTGCTTTTGGCAGTGGGTATCATGGCCATAGGTGGCCAGGTTTAGTGATAATCAATGGTAATGAATTAACAATTAAATCAGGTCAAAAAACATAACAATCAGCTTGCTTAGGACACAGTATCTGGGGTAACCTAGAGACAACGCAGGAGCCCTTTAACCCATCCACCGTCCAGCTGTGTTTCTGCAGGAGCACTCAGAACCATAGGACCTTTTAAATGCAGGAAACCTACATTTGGAACTGCCTTTCCCCATGTGTCAATCTTTGAAAAGTTTCTATTTCCACCAAAACACCTTACATCCACACTCTGTTCATTATATTTAAAGTAAAAAGATAACACTGCAAACTGAAAAATAGGTCAACCCTATCCCAAAGGGCGCTTTGCTCAATCTTAATCATAAACTGTGTGTTTGAAAAGAGATTAAAATGAACCAGATGGGGAATAATTACATAAATTAAAATGGAAGCCAATGTCATTTTATAAATTCTTTTTAAAAACAACACAGGGCGATAATTGACTCAATATATTTTTGAAAACAATAATGCAGGGTTAAACAATACTAAAAATATCCTTTTCTTAAAATAAAGAAAGCATGGCCCAAAAACAAATTTCAAGACTCCGTTCATGATAGGATCTGATAATCATAGAGGGGCCATGTCCCCATTCAATGCACTTGAGGCTGACCCTTTAGTACAACGACCTGATGGGAAAGGATATGGGAATCCGGCCTGTCAGATGGATGTAATGTTTGTCACAAACCAGAGGCTAACATTGTTTTACATGGTCAACATACAGCCTTTGCCACCTCACCTTAGGATACAGAAGCAAGTCTTGGCCCCAGAAGATAAGCGACAGAATCCAAACCTCTGCTTGCTGTCAACGTCAGTGAGCACAAATGTAAAGTTCTGGCCAACTTGGCTGACTGTAAGGCTGGAAAGAGAATACAAACACAAATGTATTTTCAACTGACAAAAAGATAACAAAGCCTAATCAATTTATGTCACTAAAAATAAACTTCATAGAATTATACAGCAAAGAAGGAGGCCATTCGACCCATCATGTCTGTACCGGCTCTTTGGAAAGAGCTTCTAAATCAATCCCACTCCCTCTTTCAAATATAATGTCCAGAAATATTTTTATTTCCTTTCTGATGAGGGAAAGAGCAATATTGGAAATCATTCTCTCTCTCCCACACACATACACACCAGCACACACTTCAGGCCATTGATTCTATACATATAAACTAAATGTTTGCTTTTTAATGAATACAATTGCATACTTTCAAAAACATTTAGCAGCATCAGATAAAATATTGTGATTGAGCATGGCCCAAATCTTTCAATTATACTCAGATATCTCCCAATACCCTGAAACTAACAATTCCAACATAACAGACAAGTAAAACGGCAGATGAAGGCATTGCCTAGGTCTAACTCCCCCAGGTCTCGGAAGTGGTGTGAATCCCCAAGGGGCCGTCTCGCTTCTCTACCAGAAAATCTCCACCTCTTACTCTTGCACCTTTAGAATTTTCTGCAATCCATCCCAAATTTGATAATAAATGAATGTTTTTTAACCCAATACTGTAACTTCAAAGCTTAATTTATTTTCCCAGTGAAGAAATTCAGATGTTCTGAAACCACAGATATAATGAATCAGTGCTGAAATAATCTAATGGAAACACAGAAGGAATGTGTGGAGTTGTGCTTTGATGACTCACGCAGGATACTGTGGTAGCAAAGAGAGTGTCTTTGCCAAGAAAAAGCAACAGAAAAGTAAAGTTTTAATGTTTAGGCAGCTTAATGGATAGTTTAATGCTGGTCAGTGTTTAATGCTAGTAGAAACAAAATGGTGCTGATGAGGATTTGTGGTTATATACAGTCAAAAAGCCACAAACACAGTTAAATAAAACTGGAACCAAAAAGGTGAACATGTATCCACAGACACAATCCTGACTAACATGAACAATTATTGCAAGTCAATGGACACTAATGGCCAACCAAGTCCTATACTAATCATCTTAGCAACCTCTGTGCTATAGTGTTGGGACACTTAACATCTGCATACTTCACTCAACACTATATTACTGGTAGCATTTGCAAACAAGACCTCTCAGTTGGACAAGCTACTTACAGCATTAGTGGGCAGTGTGTGCTGGCAAAGCTCGTTTCAATCTTGAAAATAGAATAGCAATACAGAAGATTTCTTTTGTTTTGTTTTTAAAAAATAAAAGATGGGCAATAAACAAAATGTGTTGAAGATCATCTTACTCACATCAACACTGTGAGGATGATGCTGACAGTGGCAGCTTACTGCATTTTTGCTGCCAACAGAATGAAAACGGTGGCACATCACCAGGACCTAAGCTGCCATACTGTAAGAGTATTATTTAGGAGACTAGTGTTCCCAGTCTGAGTCTGAACCATGCAAGCTTGCCCATGTCAGTTAGGTCATGGGGGGGCAGGGAGGGAGGAAGGAATTTCTACAGCAATCAACAGCATGAATCAGTCTAAGAGCCACACTTACTCAATCTCCAGGGATTTCTCCACAGAGACCAGATCAGACAATCCTCCTGAACCAGAATAACATCAGCATACACTGTAAACACCAAACTATTCATGGGACATCTTTGACAAAAACAGTTCTAAGTCTGTTTCTTAAAGATCGTTTAGAATTTGAAAATGTTGTATTCTGCTTTAGTGTTCCCAGCTAATATCTCTCTAGAATATAGCGGAGTGGACAACAGGGTAGCCAGTGAATCTTTCACCTCCAGCAACTTGGGTTTGAAGCCAGTTCAGACTAACTGAATAAAACAACTATTTGGGGGGGTTGAAAAGGAGCTTTGGCACTCTCAATCCAATCCCTAATCCACTGTGTAAAAGTGCAATATTGCGCACAAATAGGCAATTATTTTCAGAAACCAAGAGGATAGTTGGGGAAGTATCAGAAGCCATATTGGGTGAGGTATATGGGGGTGATCTTGCATCTAGTCTCTCGCCTAAAAGACACAAGTCGCTTAATGCTGACACCACATGCTATACAAGTTTAACCCTATTCACCTTGAAAAGCAGAAAAAATCAACACTAAAATATAGAGGCAGGCTTTCTTATAACTGAAATATAAAGCTCTCGTCCATATCACAAAGTAATAGGCTGTCATTTTTTTAAAAATGGCTTCATAGATTGGATTCAGAAGTCTTGTTTGAGTTCAGATTGTACGGGTATGAACAAAGTGTACAGTGACATAAAATTCCATCAGTCTGACAAATAAATAAGTGCATGTCCGCCATTCACTATTAGGTAGCGTCAGCTGCAAAAGAATCCTTGGAGGATTGACTGAACATGGCGTGTTAAATATTAAGTGTAGAGGTTTTGTAGAATGTTTTATGGCAATATCCATATGTGATCCAGTTCAATGTCCAGCTCATTGTATTTCTCCCAATTATTAATCTATAGCAGTTGAAGAGCGAATATTTCAACACGCCAAGCGCACAAAAAGATTGCATAAATTAAATCTGTGGGAATTATTTTTATGTCAGCTCACATTGTTTACACTACACTGGCTTATTAGTTGACCTGTTCCAAATGGTCTGAATATTGGGCTTCAACTGAGGCCACACCCTGAGATTCACTATTTGTAAAGTGGGTTATAAAACTAGGAATACTTTATGATCAACACTTAAATTGTTTAACAGAACCATCCATTCAGAGGTTTTTTTAATAATCTATGCAGTATATATTTATATACGACTGATTAAAGCATCTTAAAATCTTATGTTGTAACAATGCTCCTGGATTTGTGGGCTATCTACTGCAAACGCTTGTCTTTGTTCATAATTTGTACTGAACTTTCCTTTTTCATTTTGGGAGGAGGGAGGGCAGGAGGGTTACAAAGGTGGAACAATTATGATGACCCGTGGGACCTGGAAATAACCTGAGATATTTCATCTAGGTAATATTTTCCATCAACAAGATTCTCTGTTTTTTTATAGATACATTAAGAGACGTCAGTGATGTACATCCCTGGGTATTTAGGCAAGTGATGGATAAAAAAATAACTGGGAGAGCTCAAACAAGATGTATTAATAGGGGCCAATAAGGGAGCACAGTCTAGTGTGTGGTTAGTTCACACACATTGGAGGAATACAAATTAAGATCAGAACAAAGTGGACACTTTCATTTGTTGTATTTTACGAAATAATCCTGTCAGTGATGCTAACCAACAGTCAGAAACCAATTCCTAACTAGAGTAAACCTGGGAGGGCATGTTTGCTGCAAAATAGAACTGCAGGAACTAAACACCACCAAAATCGTCTCCAATTCTCAAGGTCATTTGTAAACCTCACACAGAACAATACTGCCCATTAAATATAATGCATATTTTTAAATCAAAAGAAAAAACAGTAGTGACCTTCTGTACAGGTTTCATAAAGAAAGTCAATGTCTTTAATCTTTCCTGAATCTGTCTCTTATCCTGCCACAGAAGCTGTTCACAGCCAAGAGGGGCAAAGCTGATGACCTCACACTGCCTAACGCAGGAGAATCAGACGCTGACTTGCCTCATGTGGGAAAGCACCAACCAAGCCTGTGCTCAGCAGGCCCTCAGACTCCCAGGTTAATGTGGGGAGCTCTCCCTCTAGCCATTCCTGGTGCATTGTCAAAATGTAGCTGTAGGTTTTACTAGGTTGCCTTGTAATAAATTCTCAGCCTATACCTCATCATCCATAAAGTTCTTGCCAAACCAGAAACAATCTCCATAACTGCATTTGAAGTTCCAAGAAAAGAAAAAGTTCAGAGTTACAGGAAAGCTATATTTCAGTCATTAGGGATTAACGTAAAACAAAAAAATATACATTTTAAATTTGGCAACAGCAGGCATGAAATAAATGCATGCAGTCGGAGTAAACCTCCTTCACACACACACACACCAGACAGCGTCTCAAACAGCCTTCTAATACATTAAATACATATATCATCAACAGCAAATTATTTTCCTATAAAAATATTTGGGGATAGAACATTGTTGAAAGTGTCTATAGAGGGCGCTATTATGTAAGTAAATACAAAACATGTTCAGTCATAAAAATCAACACAAACTATATTCGGTTCAAATGAGGATCAATTATTTATTTGTCTTGTACACTGGAACTTATGTAATTTAATAAATGTAATATTTGCTAATATTAATGGAGGATCAGACCAGAACAAAGTTACAATTATTCAATAATTAGATTGAATTCACCAGAAATATCCACTTGGTGTTTCTATCAAATCATAGATAGACACCTTGCCCTTCAGTACAATTAACTAGAATTTGAATGTAAAATTTTGATGATTATTGGAAATAATTAAGGTTAGGAAGGCAAGCGTCATCAACGTCAGCCACCCACGGACAGAACAGTGTGAAGTGGAGAGGTCATTTACAGCTTCCATCAGCTGCCTCACTACTTTCAACTTGAACAAAATAACGGTATTAAGATGACACTAAACAGAATGACGTTCTAAGAACCTGTGATAGATTACAATACCTGCCTTAATAGACAAATAAAACAGTTTCCTTGTTTTTATGTGCATAGAGGGTGCTTTAAATGAGTTTTTAAAAGGTACAAAATACAACTATGTTTCTTTGTTATTTTCCAGAACAATTTAATGGCATCTTTATCTCATAAACTTTGCAATGATAACAGTACCTGTCCACATAGAAAGGGAAACAAAACTTGGTCAATGTCTGCAGAACTTCCTGTGGAGAGAAAACAGAGAATTTATGCATCTTATGGGGCCAATAAATCTAATATTAACTATAGCATGCAATTACATCTTCCCTCCCTAACAAAATGGAAGACAGATGAAGAAGTGCGGCCCTTATCAATTACAGCAACGAAGCAGTGAGCAGTCAATCACTTGTAACAATAAACAATATCAAACTTCATTAAATATGAAAAAATAATCACGATTCACACATGGACAGGCTGCAGGGACCTCCTCAAGCTACCTCCTAGGAGAGGGAAGGTTGGGATGCTCAGTGTTAACACCCCTCCAGGGACACTCCTCAGCCTGACCATATGGATCATACTAAATAACACCAAACCACATGGGCTTATCTTGGCCCAGACTGCCACTTGCTGCCACAGCTTTGGCTGTTACCTAGAAACGGGCTGTTGGGGATTACACAGGCAGCACAAACTATTACAAAAGAGAAGAGAGGAGAAGTCAGCATCCTCTTTTTTCCTTCAAATGTGTGGCTCAGGTTTTGCTTTTAAATACAGAGCAGCAAATACAGACCAGGAGTCACATGAGTTTAATTATAAAAAGTAACTCGTCTTTTAAGAAAACAGTGCTTTTTGACAAGGTGACAAGGGCAAAACTTTTAAGATACGAAAAGCTGACACCTTAAAAATCAGGTTCCTAAAAGTTTAATACACACAGGGAGCTATTCTGCTGTGTCCTCTCTCAGTCCAGCAATGTGCTGACACAGGCAAAGCACCATTCTCCTCGGTTTGAGAAGTTTTTGCGTGCTCATAGATAAGGAATGCAATTTCAAGGTAAAAAACAAAATAGTGTTAGGATCAGGAAAAAACGCAATAAATATGAAAAAGCACTAGCAGCAGACAGGAGCCAATTCACAAACTTCTGGATGGGAATAAAAAGAGCACTTAGAGTACATCAACAAATTTGCTGCACTGATTAAGTGCAGCTGAATAACCCGAGAATTTGTTTTAAGTCCTGAAGTCAAGCATCAACTGCTTGTCACTCGGACAATCTGATCAATAAAAATGCTGTGCGATACAATACTAGTGCAGGGGCCTGAAAAGACAGGAGGTTTATAGTATAGCATTGCTTTAAAAATGCAGCTGTTCAAATAGAAAATTCTACACTGGCATAATTGGGACATACTGTAAGCATGGAGAAAATCCAATTTAGAATGGGACTTCAAACCAAACTAAAGTGATTCTTGAATCCATACTTTCTGCCTCTTTCCACGTTTTACAAAACATCTTCCAAAATACATCTAGAAGAACAGTCCAGCCTTTGTGGCCAATATTTTCATGGCTTTCCTAATGGTTTCTACAGTAGCAACTCATTTGCGGTTTTACAGTACTTCACAGCAGCACCAGCAGAAGTTACTAAACAAAAAATAAAACTAGAACAGTCTTTTCAAACTGTGATACATTCTAATACTTGGTTTCATCGAAGGACCTCCTTTTTAGCCACTTTAAACAAAAAACATTCCTCAAATTTACATTAATTTAAATTTACGCAGGAATTGAAATTCAAAAACAATGTCATTCAAGTATTTGCAGTGAATCGATCATCCAGTTTACGCTACACAAGCTATTTTCATAAAGTGTTTTGTAATGTTAATTATAATCTTCAATTTATATTCATATATTTTATATCTGGATGGAAAAATGGCTAATTAATTTTCCTCTGGTCCCAGCGAACCAGTTCAAGTTGTGGTTGGATTGCCTAAAGCCAATTTGAACCTAGCTGTTACATTAAACATCAGTTTACCCCGTGCAGCCATGATTCTTAAATTCTGAACATTAAATCAAAATGAGCAGCAGAAATTTATAAACACTATCAACACAAAGCCAAATAACATTCTTAAATTTTGTGCAAAATATTTTGGGGGGTTCTTCAACAGGTTTTCCCTGGGAAAGAAAAAGATTTAATATTCAAACAGTAATTGCTGGAAATACACAGCACAGGCACGCAGCACAATCCAGCATCTGAAAGAGATTGTTGGGAAAGGGTTCAGGTAATACCCTGCACCAGGACACAGTTTCCGCAACATTTTCTGCTTTGATTTCAGATTTCCAGAGTTTTGCTTTTTTTGTAGATAAATCTCTTTCCCTGCCTGTTCTGCATCCCGAGACATGATACAGCTGTACCTGCAGCTGTGTATAAGTGACGAGGAAATAAAGCACTGTGTGATCCACTCCACACTTTACCCTATGGATTGCAGCCTTGAACACAGACCTGGCAAATTCAGCAGACGTCAATATAAACTGTCTGAATCGGTCCTGGCAAATAGTAATTCTGCCTCATGAGAAATAATTCAGCCTGAGATCAATTCTAATACAGTGCAATATAAGCTGATGGCAAACAGTAAAAAAGGCATCCCCTCTGCACCAGTCTCCCTTTGCTGAATGCACTGGAATTACTTGGTTTATAGTACTCAGACAGAGCATTAACCTTCTCCTTCCAAACTTTAAGCACATAAAACAATGAAACCTTCAATGTATTAGGCATAAACAAATTTCCATACACCAATAAAAGATTGAGACTATTTATTTAATGCACTGGGTAGCTTTAATAGCTGGGATTTCTAACACTGGAGTATTAACATCAATTCTGCCCAATTTGCTGTACTTTAGACTGATAGCTTCAAACATATGCTCCTTTCCACTTGCTGCTTCTTAATCAATTTTGCTCCAAATGAAAATCAACCTAATGTATCAATACATTTGGAGAGTCTGCCACTGTTGACAGTAGGTACAGTAACTTGCTAACCTCATTTGTCATTTGACCATACAAGGAATGAAGCAAACATTAAATGTTTCAGTGACAATAAGGTGCTGCAGTTGTCTACAGTAAAACAGAGGGAGCCTAATTATGCCAGAGCTTTACCCATTAAAAAACTAAATTATATTATGTGTGTGTTTTTTTTAAGTAAATGTATTAATTTAATGGGTTTAATTTAATTTTATAACTAAAGTCAGCACAACATGTATAGGCACTGGCTTCTTCTATTGCTTACCTTGAGCACCAGTGTAGGGAAGCATCAGTTAAAAACCAAGACTTTAATTTCATGTCAACTATTTTTTATTACAAAAAAAAGTATAAGCCAACAAAACCCTGGTGAATTTTAATGCATACAGCCAAATAAATAGACAGAGCATTTATCAGTGTATCCGCAGTATACTGTAACAAGGCATTGCATATTTAAAACCAGCATTATTTAAGCTGGAAATTGCAAAGGAAATTACAGTAATAAATCATTAAAAGAATATGATAAACACAAGTAATATCTACATTGAACATACTGTATCCTATACATTTTTAAAGATTCTAAGCTTGTATTTTGTTCAAGAAATTTATAATTCAGCAGAAAGTAAACCACACTCCCAACGTATGGCTCCTGCAATTGTTTTTCATTCCAGCAACCATTCCGTTTTTTCCAATGCGGGCTCTGGCTTGTTATTTGGAGCAGGAAGCTGGTAAGTACTAGAGTCACATTTGCAAAAGAGCAGGGCATGATCCAAGTCTCTAGTGAGATTCAAAGCAGCCATGTCACTGCTGGCTTTAGGACATGTACCACCTGTCTCCATTCCCCCAGGTTCTACTCTTTTCATTATCAAACTACTGCTGACATTACAAGCTTCACATGCACAGTCTAAAATCCTCACCAATCAATAATTCCGACCGCACACATATTGATGACTACAGCTCATTGATTCACTTAGCTTGAACTGCAAAAGTTTTTTAAAGAAAAAAATACTTAAAAGATGCTGACTTTGTGTGATATCTGCCTAAAATATTCAATTGGTCATGAATTTTTCCTGAAAAAAAGGTTTTGCATCCATTATCAGAAAGTAGGGATCAAAGAGAATTAGATATTCCCAGAGAAGAGGGCAGTGAGGATTTTGAACGATCTTTTCGGCTAAAATGGCTTAAAAAGCAACTCACTCCTTTCTAGCAGGTGCTATACACTACTTCTGGATCTCTCTACTTTTACACATACACTGTCTGCTGAAATGGTGCATAGGCAAAGTGTTTCAGAGAAAGACAAATGTGTTTCTTAATGTTATCTACAGTGCGTTCTGTGAAGCGCTTTGGGACGTCCTCCCGACGTGAAAAGCGCTATATCAAATGCAAGGATTATTATTATTATTATCTTCATAACTTACTTATTTGTCTAATTTCAAAACGCTATTTTGCTCATTTCTACCTTTACTTTTTCCTTTAAATTCCAGGTTACAGAAATGAGTGAAAAAACAATGTTAATCATAATTCTTAACAGATTTTTCAAAGGGTACATTAATGGTGACAGTCACTCAATTATTGAATTATTTCAAACTCAATTACACATTATGTATGGCATGATACACAGCAATTGAACCCTCTACAAATGGTGCATGTGCAAACTGTAATGTCTTCATCTATAATAAAAACAAACTAAGAGTTAACCCCAAAAATTCCAAACATTACTTTGCACCATCAGTAGTGGTACTCTATTTAGAAATCGATGGGTTAAGAAGCATCACTAATTAGAAAATAAAACCTATTTATTTATGTGTGTATGTCTCTCTGTTTTAAATAATATTGTTTAAACAGCAGGTACCAATGACAACACAAGGGGAAGTGGCTTGAAGGTGTTACTGAGCCTAACAGTGCAAGCACCATGAGTTATTAAGAGAGATCCAGAAATTAATGCAGAATACTTCAGCTTCAGATCTGCATGGTAATTCAGCTTCTTGACACAGTTCAAACAAAACTCTGGTTTGTCTCTGATGCCTAACGCAATGGGCTGGTGGAGGCTCATTCAGAGAGAGGTCTGGTAAAGATGATATCCCATCACTTCACGTTATAAAATACATTTGACAGCATAAACTACCAACCTAATGGTAACAAATGTTGCTTCCTTCCTGCTGTCTATTAAACCATATTGTGGTGTAAGACTGGTGCTTGTTGTGGACAATAGTCACTCAATAGCAATCTGCAGCAGCTACCCTGGCT